ACCATGAAATGTATATACATTGTAACTAACCTTCAGCAGTTGAATATAGTTATATATAAGAACAGGTTCTTACATTGTAACTAACCTTCAGCAGTTGAATATAGTTATATATAAAGACAACTGTTGGTCTAGGAGGACAACATACCCAAACAACTGATAGTCTTGAAGGACAACACACACATACAACTGATGGTCTGGGAGATCAACACATCCAGACAAATAGTGTTCTCAAAGAACCTGTCCACAATTCGATTGGTAACACCACACCTGTAGTTGCCTATTAGGAATGATGAAGCTCAAGGAACAATTTAAAGTTCACAACAAACTTTGATTAGATATAATGTCTGGCTAACGGCATTTTCAACACAGTGAGTGTAGCTTATTGGCTGTAGGTTGTTATGGTTAGCTTAGCCAATAAAAGTGGGGACAAAACATATTTCCTTCTGAATGACTATCATACAGTGACGTCACAAAATATGAGATAAAACGTGATCACCAGATGAATACATACTTGTTTGAGTGTCAAATGAATTACTCTGGTTGACAAACTTGATGTCAACCCGAGGGTTGTTGGAAATGTAACCTTCGTTCCCTGCTGTTCTAGTGAAGAGCACGTACTGGGAAATCACGTGAGCCTTGATCACCTGTCAAACGAACATAAAACATAAATAACTTGAAAGGAAACTTCATATATTTAACATCCAACTGATAGGCAGCTAGAAATTTAACACCTGGGTTTACTTGTCTGAGTGTTTATCCAACTAATAGACTGCTAGAAATTTAACACCTGAATTTACTTGTCTGAGTGTTCATACAACTGATAGACTGCTAGAAATTTAACACCTTAGTTTACTTGTCTGAGTGTTCATACAACTGATATACTGCTAGAAATGTAACACCTGAGTTTACTTGTCTGAGTGTTCATACAACTGATAGACTGCTAGAAAATTAACACCTGAATTTACTTGTCTGAGTGTTCATACAACTGATAGACTGCTAGAAAATTAACACCTGAGTTCACTTTGCTGAGTGTTTATATAACAGATAAAATACTAGAAATACGACAATTGCTAATTAGCAAACCGATAAATACAAAATAAATCTTTAAACATTCTCTTGAATCGTATTTTGGTGGACTTTAACTGTGTTCGTTAAACCTGCAGGTAACAAACAAACTTTATTAAATCATCACTTTGTTCATCAAATATTTTGAGCAGTTTTATTGCTTTGTTTTCAAATAACATATATTTAAATTTATATGATCTTTAATAAATTATCTTTGAAATAAAAAGTCATATTACCATTTGCTAAATATTCTGTTACAAGAACTGATAAAGTAAGATGTATACTTCCTTGTTGTAAAACAATACTTACATCTCTGTCAACACCTCTAAACCTGCTTCCAGTGGGACCATTTTCTTCGCCAATTGGAATAAAATAAGTGTGGTTTCCAACTTTGGTAAAGGTATCGACCTCTTCTCCTTTTACTACACGTGAAGCCATAGCGCTGAATGTTATAAAAACAGGTTCGGTTTAATAGTAAACTTTACGTTCTTATATCCCTTATTGGATTTTAAAACAATAATACTCAGTAGCTTTCGGACATCGTTCAGTGTTTAGAAATTCGCTAAAATACCTAAATAGCAAGTGCTCGGTTTGTTTCAAAGTGAAAACCCTACTTTACCATGATAAGAACCTGTTCGGATATGTTGTCCTCCCAGACTATCAATTGTCTATGTATGTTGTCCTCCCATACTATTAAAATTGATATTTGTACTAACTTTTGTGTTCTAAAGTTGATATTTATACTAATTTGTGTGTTCTAAAGTTGATATTATACTAATCTTTGTATTCTAAAGTTGATATTTTTACTAATTTTTGTGTTCTAAAGTTGAGATTTATACTAATCTTTATATTCTAAAGCTTAGTTATATATTAATTTTGTGTTCTAAAGTTGAGCTTTATACTAATCTTTGTATTGTAAAGCTTAGTTATATATTAATTTTGTGTTCTAAAGTTGAGATTTATACTAATCTTTGTATTCTAAAGCTTAGTTATATATTAATTTTGTGTTCTAAAGCTGAGATTTATACTCATTTTTGTGTTTTAAAGTTGAGATTTATACTAATCTTTGTATTCTAAAGCTTAGTTATGAATTAGTTTTGTGTTCTAAAGCTGAGATTTATACTCATTTTTGTGTTTTAAAGTTGAGATTTATACTAATATTTGTATTCTAAAGCTTAGTTATATACTAATTTTGTGTTTTAATGTTTAAATTTATGCTAAACTTTATATTTTGATGACGAGATTTATACTAATATTTGTATTGTAAAGTTGGGATTATAATAATGTTTGTATCCTAATACTGAAATTTATGCTAACCTTTGTATCCTAAAGTTTAGATTTATACTAATTGTTGTATTCTTAGTGTTTAGGGATCTCTATATGTCGACACAGAGAATAAGGCCCAATTTGTAGGAGAAAATGCCTTATTTGACACAAAACTGAAAATTAAAACATTACACGATGCAGTTCTTACGATAGTTTTCCTTTCCCTTCGCTCTGGATAAAATCCCAAATTTTAATATCGATGATCATCAGAGGATGCTGGATCAAGTGGACCACGCCATTCCTCACTGGAATATTAGCTCGAACAATCTTAGACAAAACCACTCCTTTATGGTGAGCTTGATTTTCCTGTAACGTGTTGCTCCTTACGAACACTGACAATAAGTAATGGTGAATTATTGAAAAATACGAGCTCTATTATATCGCGGAATAAAAACAATTACTTCATAATTAGATACCTCATATACATCATATAAAATTACGACAGGTTTTTCGAAAGAAGCGTGAAAAGACAGATATATAAAGAAATATAATTAAAATACGACTATCGCCCAGTAACAAATGAAAAAAGATAAATATAAACAAACAAAATTAATGTTCGATAGTTGTTTAGAAAGAAAGCGATAAAATGAATATACATATATCAAGTTAAATAATACAGTTGTTCAGAAGGAAACGGGGGTTTTTGTTCTCTTACGTTAGAACAAGAGTTTTTTTTCGGCCGACAAAGCTTCGTTATCCGTTCGTTTCTTTCCCACTGTGCGAGGAATGTGATACTTCAACTATATTGTCGTGTGGTGATTACGGCTGAAAAATCCAAAATTACGTCTTTTCACATTTATGTGATGTTTATGTTTTAGGAACTCTCAAAGATATTCTGGGAGGACAACACATCCAGACAACTGATGGTCTGTGAGGATAACACACACAGACAATTGGTGGTCTGTGAGGATAACACACACACACAACTGATGGTCTGTGAGGATAACACACACACAGACAACTGATGGTCTGTGAGGATAACACACACACAGACAACTGATGGTCTGTGAGGATAACACACACAGACAATTGGTGGTCTGTGAGGATAACACACACACAGACAACTGATGAACTGTGAGGATAACACACACAGACAATTGGGGGTCTGGGAGGACAACACATTTAGACAACTGATAATCTGAGAGGAAAACACACTCAGACAACTAGAACACAAAGATTAGTATAAATATCAACTTTAGAACACAAAGATTAGTATAAATCTCAACTTTAGAACACAAAGATTAGTATAAATATCAACTTTAGAACACAAAGATTAGTATAATATCAACTTTAGAACACACAAATTAGTATAAATATCAACTTTAGAACACAAAAGTTAGTACAAATATCAATTTTAGAACACAAAGATTAGTATAAATATCAACTTTAGAACACAAAAGTTAGTACAAATATCAATTTTAGAACACAAAGATTAGTATATATATCAACTTTAGAACACAAAAGTTA